AACCATCTCAGGGATGATCAGAAGAAATGGACAGCACCTAAGTTAAATATATGAGTGTCACAGCAAATGGTCTGAATACTTATGACTGTGATATTTCAGTTTTTCTTTTTTAATAAATCTGTGAAAATGTCAAATTCTGTGTTTTTCTGTCAATATGGGGTGCTGTGTGTACATTGAGGGGAAAAATGAACTTAAATGATTTTAGCATATGGCTGCAATATAACAAAGAGTGAAAAATTTAAGGGGGTCCGAATACTTTCCGTACCCACTGTATATATATAATATAGTAGGTAGACCAAACTTTTCAAAGACCTACAGCTGTGTTTCACAATTTGACAGGAAGCTCTTGGAGTTATTTTTTACCACTGTTGATTGTGTAGCTACAAGCGTTAAATTGTGATCTGTCACCATAGATGCTGCTGCTCTTTATCAGGCAGCGTACAGGAGGTTTACACAGATGAAACAGACAGTGGTCTTGTACGAGAGCTTTTTATTGTCTTCCTGTCACTTCTGTGTTGTTGAAGTCACATGACACAGTTTCCCATCTTTAAACTTCTCCACCTTTCTGGTGCAGGTCCGACCTCCTGCTCCACACACCGTGTGACATCATTGTAACACTATGTTTACTCCTTAACAAGAGAAGATGACACCAGTGGGAAACATTCAAGCTTTATTCATCAAAAATAAAACCACACCTTTGGACCAGAAACTGTACCAACAAGAAGGATGCAGTGGGCGGGGCCACAGCTGGAGTGAGGGCAGGTGGGGGGGGACAAGAGGCACATTCACAGTTTTAAGGTGAGCAGAGTGGGAGGAGCTGAAAACCTGATGGTTTTCTAATGGAAGTTCTGAATGGTTCAGGTCACCAAAAACAACCAGGATTTACAAAACATGATTTCCCTTTTTCCAGATGTTAATTTTCTAACTAGGAGGGGACTTCTAAATACCAAAAACCATGCCCGACTTCCTACTGCTGTTGTCGCTGTGTGAATGTTTTTGGGAGCTGACATGGGGCCTGTTGGTTCATGCTCAGTGAGGGTTAAAATAAAGATGGTGCTGAACATAGAAACTGGGGGGCTGATGGAGCGTGAAGACCCTGATGGATCTTTTAGAAGCACTTGCGGTGGACAATGGAGGGTCCGGCCTCGTCGTACTCTTGCTTGCTGATCCACATCTGCTGGAAGGTTGAGAGGGAGGCTAGGAGGGAGCCACCAATCCACACAGAGTACTTCCTCTCTGGGGGGGCGATGATCTGTCAGAGGAGGAGAAAAAAAAAAAGTAAAAACTGATTGTGTGGGAAGGCAGACTGTGACGAATCCAGTGAGTCATCTGCTAATGTCTATGAACTAAATATTTACTATAGAAGAGGAAAAATAAAACATTGTGGCTTTTAAAGTCAAGCTAAGGGTCCAAGGGACTAATAGCTCGCGGACAACAATGGAGGTCTACGGCACAGAGCGATAGGCTGAACCAGGGTCTGGACTCACATTACGGTGAGGACACCACATTCACTGGTGCTGCTGGTCTCTGGATGGGGATTGTGGTAAAGACAAGAATATTGTCACCTTGATTTTCATGGTGCTGGGGGCCAGGGCGGTGATCTCCTTCTGCATGCGGTCAGCAATCCCTGGGTACATGGTGGTTCCTCCAGACAGCACATTGTTGGCGTATAGGTCTTTACGGATGTCGATGTCACACTTCATGATGCTGTTGTAGGTCGTCTCATGAATGCCAGCTGACTCCATACCTGTAAAACACAGGATGAGATGGCAGGTTGGGTGGTAAACAGGTGAGCAGGTGGATAGACAGGTGGACAGGTAGGTGTCTAACCGATGAAGGAGGGCTGGAAGAGCTTCTCAGGGCAGCGGAACCTTTCGTTTCCGATGGTGATGACCTGACCATCAGGAAGCTCGTAGCTCTTCTCCAGAGAGGATGAGGTGGCCGCAGTCCCCATCTCGTTCTCGAAGTCCAGAGCCACATAGCACAGCTTCTCCTTAATGTCCCGCACAATCTCCCTCTCCGCTGCAGACACACAGAGTTCAGAGGGGTCAACACTCAGCCTTTGGTTACCTCGAGGTTAACATGTCCAGGTGCTGGCATACCGGTGGTGACGAAGCTGTAGCCTCGCTCTGTCAGGATCTTCATGAGGTAGTCGGTGAGGTCTCGTCCGGCCAGGTCCAACCTCATGATGGCATGAGGCAGAGCGTAACCCTCATAGATCGGCACATTGTGGGTGACACCATCACCGGAGTCCAGCACAATACCTGCACAAGCAGACATAAAGAAGAGATCACAGAGTTGCACAATAAGTAAAGATTACCTGTTAACACCTGCCACAAGTATTTTAAAGGAACAGATTCAAACAGTGACACTGCGTCAACCCACTGTTGTCCTGTTCACATGCAAAAATTAGGATATGCAAGGAAAATTTCACTCAAGAAAATGTTGGTAAAATTCACATTTAGCTGATGTGTGAACACAACTGGAGCTCAGACGTGCCCCTGTCAGATGAAATGTGAGAGAAACCTTTATGAGGAACAGCCATAGGTGAATCCCATTTCCCCTAATTGCATCCCACGTTTCCCTCACCAGCATCTTATCCTTCGCTGCTCCTCAGGGACAATGAGCATCCAGGTAGACGCCCCTTATTGTTCATTATTTAATAATATTGTTAATGTTTGTGTGTTCACATTATCTGTTTTCTTCGCTTTGAGGAACCTTGACAATCATTTATAATACAGTTTGAGCTCTCCTCAGGTTAATGAGAGCTGTGAAGGATTTATGACTAAAAACCCTCCTGAGTGTGAAATTCGCTCACGAGACGCAGCTGGGTGAGTTTGTCTTCATGTTCGCTTGAAAACGCATTCACATGGTAGCCTCTGTTTTCTTCACCCAACCTAATGCAGTTCATTTCTCATTGTTGTTGTTTTGTGTTATTGTTAGGTTACCTATAAAAACGTAGTTCAATCAGATGAAGCATGCATGTACTGATGATCGAGATTAGTCGAAATTGAAAGCGACCCATTAAAACACCTTAGAGGTCCGGGTCAGACCAGGACTTCAGCTGCTGTTCATTAGGATGTAGTGGGCTCTAAACCTTTGCAGAGCACGTCTGCTGGTGATGCCAACAACATACAGTCTGTCACTGAATCAAACTGATATCATTGTAACTTTGAAGCTTCTTCTGACCCTTTTTGGGGCACATCTGGGGGAGTGGTCTCACGTGTCTCCCTGTCAGCATGTACAGAATAGTTTCTTGTTGGTTTTTCATCATAAAAGCATTAGAAACCAGCTCAGCCTGGGAGAGAGAGGATAACTGGTGTCTGACAATGACTGAACAGGGCTAACATAGAAGAGGAGTGTGGTCCAACCTGTAGTTCGTCCAGAGGCGTACAGCGACAGGACGGCCTGGATGGCCACATACATGGCAGGAACATTGAAGGTCTCGAACATGATCTGGAGACAAACATAAACAGGAAACCAGTGTGAGCCTTGGTACTGTAGTGCAGTATAACGCTGGTGTAGTACTGCTGTGTACCTGTGTCATCTTCTCCCTGTTGGCTTTAGGGTTGAGTGGAGCTTCGGTCAGCAGGGTGGGATGTTCCTCCGGAGCCACTCGTAGCTCGTTGTAGAACGAGTGATGCCAGATCTGACCAATCACAGAGGAGGAAATCACCATCAGAGGGACTACACTAGTATAACTAGGAGTATTACACTCAGTGCTGCAAAGTAACTGGGTACCCAAGTACAAACTTAAGTCCAGTTTTGAGTTGTTCTTACTTACATTGAAATCCACCTGCTACCCAGCAGGATGTAAAGTACTTCACAGTACAAGTATATAAGGTAGTTAACATCAGCTCCACCTTTACCAGCTACAGCATTAAAGTGATGAACATAGTAATGATCCAGTAGTATCAGAGACATTACTGGCACATGGGCCATTCTGCAGGACGAGTACTGGCACTTCAGATGCTTCAACTAGATTTGAATGCTAATACATTTGTACTTAAGTAGTATTTTGAATGCAGACCAGTATTTTTACACTGTGGTTTTGCTAGTTTTATTGCAGTAAATATTGTGAGTACTTGTTCCAGCACTGTGTATTTAACTGTGTGAACAGGAGTGAGACCTTCTCCATGTCGTCCCAGTTGGTGATGATGCCGTGTTCGATGGGGTACTTCAGGGTCAGGATTCCTCTCTTGCTCTGAGCCTCGTCACCAACATAGCTGTCCTTCTGCCCCATGCCCACCATCACGCCCTGGCACATACACACAGGTCAGTGTTTATGGGCTGCTGCTGTCTCTTACTGTAACACACCACCACATAAATCTAGACTACACAAAGACCAGGCACTGGCATCCCTTGGTTCTACTGAGGTCTCACCAGCGGAGGTGATTTCAAAAGTACTTCTGTACATACCGAGGTGAATTTGAACTGCAGTGTGTTTGCTGTTGTACAATTCACACCTGTCTGATGGGTGTGAGGGCTCAAAGAAGATAGTCATAGTATCAATGTTAACATTAGCCTGTCCCCGTGTGTGTGGACCAATCAGCTGTCACCTGGTGCCTGGGCCGGCCCACGATGGAGGGGAAGACGGCTCTGGGGGCGTCGTCTCCGGCGAACCCGGCCTTACAGAGACCAGATCCATTATCACAGACCAGAGCGGTGCTTTCTTCATCATCACACATGGCTGCAGGTGGCACTGTGGACGAGCAACTACACTATGACACCGACTCACACTGTGGACACAGAGACGAGGTCAGAGGTTACTGATGATGAAGAGAGTCTGGAGACATGTTCTAGGTTTTTGATATGCTGAGGCCTGCTGGAGACTGAGTACTGCAACTGGAAGTAAAAACCGTCATTAAAAGCAAGTCACCGTCTTCAAGCAATGAAATGACCTCAGCAAACAGCTGTTTTACCTATTCAGCTTTGTCTTTAGTCAGTTTTTAAGAATCTTTCTAATGCTGACATTAAGGCTTTATAAGAGAAATACAAGATAAATAGGATTAAATTGGAAATAAAAGCATAAACTAAACTATCAGATAAAAATAAGCTAATATACAATAAAACAGGAGAATTAAAATGACAGTGCAGTGAATAAACGGGCCCAGATTTCATTTTGATTAAAGGGAGAAACAGTTGGAGCAGACCTACAGAGCTGAACTGGTAAATCTGTACAGGGAAGTGAATAGAAGGCTGTAAAACACTGCACTGAACTATGTGCACTTATATTTGTATGGTGCAAAACACATTAATGAAAATACTTGTTTGAACAGCAGGTTTTAGGAATATGGATTTTTAAAAATGTAGAAATGTTTAGCTTGATTACACCATTTTACACCTGAAAAGAAAAGATGCAACCAGAAGTAATTCTGTGTTTTGAGACAGAAAATATCAAACATTGTGAATAAACCTATGACTGAGGCCACACTAAACTTGCATCTGTTTACAGACAGACATCACCAAAAGTGGACTTGAGGATCACACACACACATACACACACACACACACACACACACACACACACACACTACTTACTGTCCTTTACTGAATGAACACGGCACTCTGGGAAAACTTCCTAATTAGGACAAGAAGCCGAGTCCTGCCTGTGTTTGGTATGCTCTCTCTCCCTGCATTCACCCTACCTCGCTCGCCCACTGCTTTTCTCTTTTTATGCCCCCTCCCTCTCTCTTCATTTGTCCTTCCTCTTCTATCTTCATCTCCCTCACTCTCACACATGACCTTAGACCATATTTAGTCATGAAAGCTGGGAATCAAAATTTATTTGCCAGCAGGAGCCTGTGGGTTCATTTTGCCCTGAGTTCTGTCTGCTTCTCTCTCCAACACTCAGCTGCAAGTGTGATGTTATTTTAAATGTTTATCAGAGTCAGAGTAAATCCATGTCCCCACTGAAGGCGGAGACCTTTACACACACCTGCAACCAGGTACAAGATCTGTGTTGTTTTGGGATATAAAATAACTCTGTTCCTGCCAGTTTAAACTTTAAAATCCAGGCCTAACTAATTATTTAATGCTTTAATGTACATCAGTAAACCCCATGTCTGACCTCAAGCCAGCAGTATGTCTGTCCAGCTCTCAGCACTTCCTGTCTGTGTCCCCATTGGTTCTTACAATACTTTAAGAATGTAAAAAAAAAAAAAAACGTTTTTTTTTTTACTGTCTCAGTAATTTCCTCACACAACTGCTCACTGTAGCTTTTAGCAAACAAACATGGGAAAATGAATAAATGCATTTGTCTTAGGACTTTTTTCATCAGACATACTTTAAAATAATAAACACAAGATATATAGTAAGAAATAACCTGGCTAAATTATGTCTGGCTAAATTAAAATAAAGGTAGGAAAATATAATTACACATGGTGTAATGGCACATGGTGCAAGTCAAAAATAAGAGAAAATAAGTCAAATCATCAACATGACTAAATTAGAATGATTGGTCTGAGTCTTAAGTCTTAAATTTAATGGTAGTATTGTTTACATTTCACCTGTTGTCCTTCGATGTAAGAAAGTTATCAGAAGTAAAACTACTGCCCCTGTTGGCTGGAAATTTAAATGTATAAAATAATTCATGATGCGCTTATTTTTAATAACAATGTTATGACACATTCACAAATAACGTCTCTTGACAGATTATCAATGACAAATAGAGATCAATACATCCTGATCACCAGATCTGTGGTTTGGTATCTCACAATAGCCAAACAACCCAATTTTAACAAGGAGATTTTACTTTATTGTCTCTATCTCTGAATCCAGCTTACCCACTTCAACTGCTGATGAAGACCATGAGGTGTGGTTGAAAGCTTCTGGGAAAAACTAGTTAGTGGATCTTGTGTTAATCTCCGGAAGGAAATTTTATATTTAAATAATGATATTCTACCCTCAGGATGAGCATCTTAAATAAGCTGTCAAGTTTTTTTTTTTTAAATCCCAAGATAACAGCAAACTGCCCCTCTGGGCTTCCATAGTTTGTTCTGAGAATAAAAATCCTGACTTAAAGGTGGGAACATGAGACTAAAGCGCTGAGTGTCTGACAGAAATCATCAAGTTTTAAAGGACAGAACGATGTGTTCAGGTGTGGTCAGAATGCGAGCCTGCTGGTAAGCACTCAGGGCAAAAAAGCGTCAACTCCACACCAAGAAACTCAAATCCAGTAAACATCAGCAAATTTATTCAACCAAACTTCAGTCAAACAAATCAAACTTTTAAGACCCAACTATCAAAGTAAAGACTGGGCCCTGCACCATCAGCAGATCTTATTCAGTCAGAGTTTCCTGAAATGTCCTTCACCACAGAATCAGAAGCAAGCACAATCTTTGACATTTTGAAACAAAACCTCAGCACAGTAAAATTAAAAACAAGTGTAGTCTGGTCTGATTCAGCAGGTGCAGCGCGATGGAGAGAGACAAGTGGAGGCAGAGGAAATGAGACAGGAGGTGTAAAACTGAGAAGCTTTTTAGGAGCAGATAACAGGCTAAGAAAAGAGGAAAACAGCATTGAGCAGCTCTTATGTTTTTTGTGTTAAGAAGCAGGGAGGAAAGGAGATGAAGCAAGAGATGCTGGAGGAGGTGGTGGAGGTGCTGGGGTCTTACCGTGGCAGTGCAGGGCCTGCTGGGATGTGGGGAGGGGGGCCAGGACAGAAGTGAGAGTGTGAGCTGCTGTGACTTACTTTATCAAGCCTCCACCTCCTCCATCCATCCCTCCATCCCATGCATAGTCCAGCCCCCCCCCCACTCCCTCTTTCCCCTGCTCGAGTCCTTATAGGGCAGGCCGTGAGGGAGGCAGCCAATGAGACAGCTCTAGGCGCCACTGGACTTTCTCCCATCATTCACTGCATTCCTCAGAGAGAGAGACAGAGGTTTTAGAATTTTCAAAACTTTACCACTATGATCTGTTGTGTGTGTGTGTGTGTGCGTGCAGTCACAGGCTGTTTTTGAGATTTTGAGGACAGACAGGTGGGTGTGGTTCAGGTTGTGGAATCAGCCTGACTGAAGTGGACTTCTCTGTCCCTGTGTATTGTCCAATGCTTGTAAACTCACACCTCAGATATCCTGATGTCTTTTCTGTCTGATACTCTCGCCTCCTGTTAGCCTCTGCTCAGCTAAGCAGCCAGTCAGCAGGCCGTCCCCTATTCGCCTGGTTTAGTTAAGTAGAGACAGCAAGTCCAGGACAGATGTCGCTGGTTAATGACAACGAAATACACTTCTGAATTTGTGCATAAATACATGCTAAAAGGTACATGTTAGCCTCACTCAGATCCACCACCCAGACCTGAATCCTCTGCTTTTATTCTGAAAATACCATCAGAACAGAGAGAGTGTTTTTCAAACATCCACAGTGAATCATTTATTAGAGACACTTGTTTCTGCTGTGGCCTGAATGTAGGCTACTACATGGGAGGCTAGTGTGCTGTGCTAGCTGTTTGTTTGTGTTGTGCTAAGCTAGGCTAAATAATCCTCCTCACAACCATCACTATATAAACAAGATTCAACAGAAACTGAAACTTATATCTTTCATTTTTTTGTAGAAAGGTGAAAGGTGGTGCTGACTGCCTGCTTCACCTACTAAACTACCACCATCAGTAGTTTCCTGCTGCATCAGTGTTTCCTCATGGCCCGGTAGGATCTGTGCCATAGCCTGGCTCTGGTCCTTGTCCAGGGTTTAGGCCCGATTGCTGTTTTGAATGAGTGATGAAGTCCAGCTGTGCTGACTGACAGCAGAGGTCAGTCGGACAATGCTGGAATGATCAATCAGCAAGATCAGTGATTAGTCGGCTTTGGAGAGTACATGCAGAAATCACAGAGGTCAGGAAATGCACTCGTAAAACTTTAGTGAGAGAGAATTTGAACCACTGCCTTTAAATGTTTTGTAAAAAATACCATGCTTTTTCGCAGTAAAATACTAATATTACTTGATGTTTTGGCACAAAGTTCACTTCTCAGAACCCTTGAACCATGCACAGACAGGATGATTTTTAACGATCGTGTACAATGTGTTAAATCGCATTGTAAGTTTTAGGTTCTCTGCTGACACTATATGTTCATCCAGGCACGACCTCAGTGTTCATACTGAAGGTTGAAACAGAACCGCTGAATGGTTTGTTCCCTGACAGTCCCAGTAAAGTTCATGAATCGATAGAGTGTGGTAGGAATGATATATTTTTGTAGGCCAACCCAAAAGTTAGCATCACCCTGGTTTCCTTGAGAAAAAGCTAACAGGATTTTTCCATAGGCTTTTGGATTATTGCAGAGAATAAGCTCAGTGACGCCTTCACCAGCCTCCGTCCTCTCATTTGTTGCATCTGTTTGTGACACAAGTTAAATTCAGCAGAGTCTGATTTTTTTTTTCTGACTGTCTTCAGAGTTATTGGTACATCTCAGACAGACCACAGCTGCCACTCGGTTTCCATTCTCAGCTGCCCCACACAGATGACAGTGTGCACACACTGTGCGTACACTGTATTGACGTGCCAAAAAGATGATCTCATCAGTTTACATGGACACCACAGTCCCCATGTGAGGAGATCCCCGACTGTTTCCAGACTCATCCCCATGTTAGGATGCCAGTGATCCTGCAGCTGTGACGTGGCAGAGTCTTATATGAAAGTCAGAGTTTGAGTAGGATTTTGTGCTGGGCAGCTTCAGTGTCATGAGTAGGTCAGGCTATCAGATGTGAGCCTGGACAGTGGAAGGTGTGCCGGGGTGGGGGCAGCAGAGCAGCCCCTCACTGGTTCTCATTCACACACAGTGCTGCTAGTGTGTGACATTACAGAGTAGTCTGAGGAGGGGGCTGCAGTCCATGTCCTTAAAAAGCCCGATGGCAGGATGGAGGAGGATGGAGGGAGTGCATTGGAGAATGTTTTCTGTGTTTGAGTCAGGAAGAACCGTTCACATATCTCACAGCACAAAAAGCCCCTTGTATGGCGTTTGCAGAAGAGCATCCTGGGAAGTGTAGTCTGGTCCAGAGTCCTGAGCCCCACCTGCTGCTGGTGTAGGTACTGAAACACTTGACGGTTCAGGAAGGATGATGGGCATGTTGGAAAAGTCGCATTATTCATATTTCAGTCAGCGTCGACCTTCAGTCTTAAACACAGAATTCCACTAGAATTCATTCAATTTACTGTGCATGTGCACATTCATGCACCCCTCAGGATCAACTCTGGTCACTCTGCTGATCCTCTGAGTTTTCATCTAGCACCACCATCAGGTTGACCTTTTAATGTGTCCAGTACTTTGGCTCATGGCCAAATAGAACTATAGAAAGAGTATCTGTGAATGTTGCACAGATAAGATCAAAAGCAGCTGCAGAGATTGTCTTCTCAAATCCAGCTCAGTGATGTCAGGAGCATGTGACATAAACAAAACACACCTGTGTGTGTCTGTGTATAGTTGTCTGTACAGTGTGAGAGCATTTGGGATTTCCAGCTTGCTGAACAACACTTAGTGCTGATGTCTTTTCCTGTGGGGGTGGTGTGATCAGACCTACATGGCTCATGTGAGCAGCCTGTGATCCTGGTCTTTGTCCTGATTGGCTTGACTGCTTATTAGTCTGCTCAGTTACAGGGTCTAAGTTGTGCACTATTTTTTGGATCTGAAGCTTTTCACTGCATGTAATGTTTCACAGATGTTCAGTAGTTGTGTTCCAGGTGTCGTTATCTTCCTCTGAAAGTGTATTTCTGGCTTCAGATTAATAGCATGTCTATGTGTAGGGGTCCCAGCGGCTCCTTCCACTTTACAGCTGTTTGATATACAGTATCTCTGGAAGAAGTCTTCTGCAGAGAAGAGCTACTCAGGCTCATGGGTATCGTAGTATTTAGAGGGCCCTCCCACTGCACCAAATTGTATCAGGAATGTGTCAGGACAGACATGAAAGATGTCTGTAATATAAAAACATTTCTCCTCTGTGTTTGCATTACCCTGCAGAGTCAGCTTTGCCTTAAAAGGAAGCTTTACTACAAGGAAACCAAACTTCCTGCAGCACAGACACCACCCACTTCAGCAGTCCTCTGGAGCAAAAAACTTCTGGGATGTGACAGAAAAGTAAGAATAACAGAAATAAAACACTAAACAACAGACAGCAGTGAACTCTGTCTGTGTCTGTAGGTCCAAAAAAGGAAGCTGCTCAGTAAATAAGATTCCTGGCATCACACTCTGCCTCCTCCTCCTCCTCTTCGTCTCATGTAAGGAGAGGAAACATGGTGGGTGTGGTCTGGTTGTGCTTCTGTAGAAGAGTGCGACTGTACAGACTGTGTACATAATGTTGGTCTCTGAGAGTGGGTTGTCTTTTGCTATGTCCTTGTTTAGATGTGCAGGCTTTGCCTCCAGTCTCCTCGAAGCCTCATGCCACACCGCACTGAACTGTTTCTCTTATCATGCACTGACCTGTGCACGTTACACACGTTTAACTAATACCTACACACACCATACATCAGTGCATCATTTGTCCTCTTTGATCATCATGCACTGTTTTGTCATTTAACCACATGTGCATGTTCGACAAAAGAGCTGAATATCATTCTTCTTCTGGCTGTCGGTTACCAACAAACGGGAGGGGTCACAGGCCGCCTGGGCCTGGCACAGAGTCGGTCATATGGCCACAGGAGCTGCTACACTGCCTCCCATTAGCAGCAAACACCACAGAGACTTGAAGCCTGCCCAGCTTAAACATCTGCATCAGACAGAACCAAAACCATGGTGACCTCTGCTGTGGTCCGGGCAGATTCATGTGACCCCTCAACCTGTGTGTGATTCATGCTAAGCTAGGCTAAAAGCTGCCGGCATTATCGTGTTTCTTTGGCACGTTTTGCAGAGATCTTTCCACAAGCCATTGTCACCAGAATGTTCTGCTGGGTCACATCTGAAATTATCATGTATATTTGTGCACTTGCATGTGGTCTGTGCTACAGTCACCCCCTGGTGCAGATTTCTCACACCCTGACTCCACCTGCTTCACCTCCATTCATACACAGTCAGCAACACACTGAGACTGTAGCTTGACCGAAAATGGGAAAACAGCTGGACTCCTTACAGGGATGTCTGAAACTACTTCTGATTGGCCAACTAACATCAACATGCAGGCAGCTCAGGAATGCGTGTGTGCCGGCTCTTCTCTCTTTATGGCAGCACAGGCGATCTGTGCGTCGCTGCAGGTGTCCTGGGTGGACTCCACGTCTGTCAGACGTGAACAGCTCAGTGTCGGGAGTCCGGGAACCCCGGCTCTTGCG